CCGCTCGCGTCCGGTTGGATTCCTTCTAGCTGCCGCTCGCGTCCAGGGACCTCTTGGAGGAGGCGTCTCATTCTGGGTCCTCTCCAGAAGGCGCGGTGGTCGAATTGCCCCTTTCACGTGTGGTGGGCTCGGGCACCCGGGGCACCAGCGGTCAGCACGTGCCGCTCTCGTGCCTGTGACGTCGCTCGCAGCCTGGCATTTCGCACCCCGGCCTTTGCGCTTCGCTCGTCTCTGGTGCCTGGTGTGAGATGATGGTTCCCCAAAACGCAGCGCAGCCCCCAGCGCTCCGGGTGCACCACAGCTACCGGGATCCCCTCGTTGCGGGTGCCTCTCAGCCTGGCCAGCGGGCGGCTGGGGGACTGGCTAGAACAACACAAACGACGCCGGTGCCCGGTGCTCGCTGCGGGTCAGGGGGACTGACCGTTTGCCAGACAAAGTTGGGCCATTCCACCCAGTGCCCCCTTCCTCCCTCCCACTTGAGATGCACAAGCCCCCTCTCCCCGTCCCAACTTTCCCTCAGTGCGGGGCGGAGCTGTGCCCAGGAGGGAGGGGGGGAACAGCATTGGCTGGCCATGGTTTCGGGCACGGCCGTTCTGTCCTCTCTCCTGTCCTCGTGCAAGTGCCCGGTGGCGGCTGCGGGGGAGGGGAGGGAGTGCACGCCGTGCTCGGGCCAGGCAGGGAGGGTGGCCAGGCTGGGTGGGTGTTTTCTGCAGAGCACGGGGGAGTGAAAACCAAAGGCCCCCCTCCCTCCTGGGTCTGCAGCCGACAGCGCGCTGGAGGAACAATGGTTTTGTGCCGAGAGTAAGTTTCCTGCCGCCCCCCATGCTGCATCTGCTGCTTTGGGCTGCACACGGGGGGCAGCTGAGCGTTCCCCCCCCCCATTGCGGCTGCCCCTATGGAGAGTGGTGCAAAGCCCACAGGATTCGGGGGCGCTGTGGCTCAGCCATCCCCGCTGCAGGAATCGCTGCTGGGGTGATGGTCAGTAGGACTCCGGAACCAAGGCGGCTCAGGCCAGGACTGGGGGAGGGGGGCGCTACTGTTTGAGCTCATCTCATGCTTAGCACCTCTTGGCTAACAGCTCCATCTTCACCTGAGCAGCCTGCATAGCACTTCATTGAGCACTGCATGATGGGATTTGTAGTCTCTGTGCGGCACCTCTATTCCCAGGGAGACCCACTCGCATTAGACCATCCGCCCCTCCCTGAGGAGATCACTAATCATGTTACAGTCCAAGGGCCAAGCTGAAGAGCCTGGGTCCCAGTACTGCCCATGAGTCGGCCGTCTCCCCGGATACGTCAGTGTTCAGAGGGTCTCTGGTACTACTTGTGACCTGTGGACCAAGACGTTGTGATCACAGCTGCTCGTTAGTAGGGATGAGCAGGGCTGTGATCCTGGTTTGGATTTGGATCTCACATGCTCCCCCACCAAATGTCAGCACTCAGGGCAGGCGGGGCATGGAGTTCAATCCCAGGATGGCGTGTGCTCATTGAAAGCATGCTCCAAGACCAGGGAGTTGGCTCTGGGCTTTCATGGGGGATGTGTGCTGGTCCCGGGTAGCTGGTCATTGAGCCAAGCGTGTGGCGCGGGGCCAGAGTTCCTCGGGAAATGCCCCGGCTGGGCGTTGAGCGACGCCAGCCACTGGCTCTCGATTTACGGGCTCTCTCTTGCTGGCTTTCAGGACGACATGACTGACTCCCTGCGGGATTACACCAACCTGCCCGAAGCGGCGCCCCTGCTCACCATCCTGGACATGTCGGCCAGAGCCAAGTACGTGATGGACGTGGAGGAAATCACCCCCGAGATCGTGGAAGCCTTTGTGAGCGACTTTCTAGCGGACAAGCTAAAACCCGAACCCATCTGAGGGGCCGCCAGCACCGACAGACGTTATTTAAAACGAGGTCTCTCCCTCCGCTAGCAGGTTGCTCAGCGCGTACCCAGCCTTCCTGTGGTGCCTTGTTTTACGCAGTGAATCCTCCTCCTAAGCAGACTCCTGGAGCTGCACTTTCAGCAGGGAGTCGCTGGCGTTCGGAGACTTTGCTTGTGCTTCATGGTGATATATCCTCTACTAACCAGGCCAGCACTGTTGCCATAGCGTTATTTTATACACGGCACTAGCTAGCAGGCAGATGTTTTGCATGGTGTTCTTGCCAACTTAAGCATCAGGCAGTGGACTAGGGTTCTTGGGGCTCTGCTACTCCTCCTCCCTTCTCATCTTCATCCATCTTTCCTCTCCCTTCCCTTTCCCTGATCGACCGTGCCAATGAAGCAATAAAACAATACACCACTTGGTCACCCATCTTTCTGTCCCTAGGCAGTAGCAGGGAGCCCACGGTGCAGAGTAACTGTTGAAATGCGGATTGCTCACGATGCAGCAAAGGTCTTCCTCCTCCTCCTCCTCCTGAGTCTAACCTGTTCTAGGTTGGCTTTACGCCCCCACCAAACTCACAGCAGCCTTAGTTACGGGCCAGCTGTGTGCCTGGGAGGGCAATCCACGAACCCACATACACCCTCCACCCCGAGCCAAAAGGAGACACAATTCAGGGCTACCCTGACCCTCCTCTGCTGGTGGTGCTGGTGTTTTGTCATTCTCTCTTGCCCTTTTCTTCCCCCTCGCCCTGGCTGTGGTATGAAATGTCGTCCCCGTGCATTAGTTGACCAAGATGGTCTTTGTAGCTCTTTCCCAAGCCCCGCCTTAATGGTGCTGTTCTAAACACAACCCCAAGCAGCTCAGCTGAGCCCCCAGAAAACTGACATTGTAAAAACAGTACATGGTGATTGGACCTTTGTAATAAAATGGTTGCAGTCACCTGGTGCCTGGAGGTGCAGATTCCCTCGGCCCGCTCGCACCAAAGCCGTCCCTATGGCTGGGATGAGGGTTCGGAAAGGGGCCCGGGATGGCCAAGGGAGCAGTGTGTCTGGTGGAGACCTGCAGGCCTTACTCCAGTGTGCAGATCCACAGGAGTAGCAAGGGGCTGCTGTACCAGTCTGCAGCCAGAACCAACCGACCGTAGTCGAGCGTAGTGCTCGGTCTCTTGAAAAGAGCTTGTTGAACTAGAATGTGGCTCCTGACTGCTGCAGATTCGGGGTTTATCCCACGTGGCCCCGTTAGAAGCATTTAAACCAACCCTTCCAGTGATGGGGAGTCCAGGTTTTCTGCTTGAACGGTTCAACGGGCACTACAGTGAGTGGTTCCCGCTCCTGCGTGCGTACACACCCACATTTGGACTCCAGATGGGGCCCACACATCTCAAACAACCTCCAGTTACAGTACGTAACCTCCAGCTAGACACCCTAGGGCCGTGGTCACCAACTAGTAGATCGCGATCTACCGGTAGATCTCAGGGGCTCTAAGAGTAGCTCTTGAGCGCTCTCTGAACTGCGCACCTGCGCAGTACATTTACATTAGATTTCCTCATGTAATGTAGGCAGGGCTTCAAGGAAGGTGCGGGGCAGTAGATCTTTGCCTGTTCTGAGACTTAAAAAGTGATCTTGGGTGTAAAAAGGTTGGAGACCACTTCCCTAGGGTGTGCCTTCCAACCAGCCCTGTGGTTTGGAGATCCTGGCTTCATTAGTTCCTTCATTAGCTCTTCCTTACATTGGCCAAGCAGTAAGTGGAGTATCCCAGAAGCCAGTGGAACCTGAGCTGTAAGGTGAACACAGTTTGTTGGGGAAAAGTCAACATGGTTTCTGTACAGGGAAATCATGCCTCACCAATCTACTAGAGTTCTTTGAGAGGATCAAAAAGGGGGAATCCCGCGACTACAACGTACTTAGATTTCCAGAAGACCTTTGACATGATCCCTCACCAAAGGCTCTTAAGCAAAGTAAGCTGTCATGGGAGAAGGGGGAAGGTCATCTCATGGATTGCTAACTGGCTAAAAGACAGGAAACAAAGGGTAGGAATAAATGGTCAATTTTCAGAATGGAGAGAGATAACTAGTGTGTGCCCTAGGAGTCCATACTGGGACAAATTATAATCAGCATTCATAAATGCTCTGGAGAAAGGGCTGAACAGTGGGGTGGAAAACTTTCTAGATGATACAAAAGTGCCCAAGATAGTTAAGAACACAGCAGACTGTGAAGAGCTTCAGAAGGATCTCACAAAACTAGGTGACTGGGCAACACATTGGCAGATAAATTTTAATGTTGATAAATGCAAAATAATGCACATTGAAAACATAATCCCAACTATACGTATAAAAGAAGGACTAAATTATCTGTTACTGCTCGAGAGATCTTAGTCATCCACTCAATGTGCAGCAGCAGCCAAAAAAACAAACCAAATGTGAGGAATCATTAAAAAAGGGATAGAGACTAAGACAGAGAATATCTTATTGCCTCTATATAAATCCACGGTACCCCCACATCTTGAATACTGCATACAGATGTGGTTGCCTCATTTCCAAAAAGATATCTTGCCATTGGAAAAAGTTCAGAAAACGGCAACAAAAATGATTAGAGGTTTAGAACGGTTGCCATGAGGAGAGACTAATAAACCTGGGATTTTTCAGCTTGAAATGAGACTACTTTGGGGAGAGATGATAGAGGTCTATAAAATCATGACAGTTATGGAGAAGGTGAATAAGAAAAGTTATTTACTTGTTCCCATACTACAAGAACTAGGGGGGTCACCAAATGGAATAAATAGGTAGCAGGCTTAAAACAAACAAAAGGAGGTATTTCTTCACACAACACAGCCAACCTGTGGAACTCCTTGTCAGAGGATGTTACAAAGACCAGGACTTCAACAGGATTCAGAGGAGAGCTAGACAAATTCATGGAGGATAGGTCCATCCATGGCTATTAGCCAGGAAAGGTAGGAATGGTGTCCCTAGCCTCTGTCAGAAGCTAGGAATGGATGAGATGGTTACCTGTTCTGCTCATTCCCTCTGAGACATCTGGCATTGGCCACTGTCAAAAGACAGGGCGCTGGGCTAGCTGGATCGTGGCCTGATCCAGTCTGGCCGTTCGTATGACACCCCGATGTGTATCAACACTGTGCACGTTCCGAATGGCAGAGGAATGGAAGACAACCGCTAACCGGTATGCAAAGCCTACCAGTGTCGTGTGCTGCTACCGCCCCTTGCATGCAGGTAGGTCCCAGTGCCTTGCCAGCGCTGAGTCCCATGCAGCCTCTGGACTGCACATAATTGTGGTGTTGGCCGTTTTTCAAAGGCGAAGCTGTTTCCTGGGCGAGGACATGACTAGCCCAAGGTTTGTAGTGAGTCGGTGGCCCATCCCAGCTGACGGGGGAGAGACTTGAACGTGTGTTTGGGCAGCTCGTGAATAGGTCTGCAGGGAGGCACACACACACATCCGCACAGGAGGAATAATTCTGAGGGGGCGAGTCGCCGCACCCTCCCCCTCTCGAAGGAGGCGGTACTGCCCCCGCTTTGCAGGCCAGAGAGAGGGGTAAGACCGTGGCAGGGCTGCGCTAGGCCAGCTGCCTGGACTCGCAGGCCCCTGCTTAATTTGCCAGACCACGCTGCCTTTCATAACATATCAGCCGCTGACAGCTGGACAGTGTCCCCCTGGGGGCGTTTCCGCAGCTCTGTCGGCGCTCGTTTCCGTTGGCAGACCCGCACGTGCCCAATGGGGGGGGCGTGCTGGGGAGCCATGTGGTGGTTTGTGTTCTTGGATAGCTGGGGGCGTGCAAGCTGCCGCTTTCCCCTGCAGCCCATTTGTCACTTATGGCAGGACTGTAACCTCCCTTTCAGCCACGGTGCAGCAACCAAGGAGAGGAGGCGCTTGGGAACCAGCCGTGTGCGCGACAGGAATTGGGTTACTCTAGACCGCGCAGACGGTGTGTCCGGCCAGGGGCTCTCCTTGGTGATCCTTGATTAGGTGCTGAATAACTAAACCCTGCAGCCAACAGAGCAGCAGAGGGATGGGTTGCTGGTAGCATTTCTCTGGGTTCTGGTCGGGGCTACTGTCCATTGTGCCAGGTGCTGCATGGAGCCTTTTGAGGGGGACGCCAGCTCCGGAGGGAGGGCCTGATGGCCACTAGGCCAGGGCTGTTCAGCAGCCCGTGAGATGGGTCAGTCTGGTTCAGAGGCCAGGCTGCCCGCCAGGGATCGCAGCCTCTTCCCGAGCTGCTGGGTGTGACTGACCCGCCCCATGCACTAGAACTTGCCACATGGTGATCAAGGTGCGGCGGGGGGGGCTGCCCCCGTTGGAGCTTACAGAGATTTCTCTCTAGCTGCTAATCGGCACCTTCCTCCAGGGATCACAGCCCTGAGCCACTCAGAATACACCACTGTAAGTGGAAGCTGCAGCAAAATCTCTTTCCGGAGCTTAAAACCCACGGGGCAGAGGGGAGGTGGCAAAGAAGAGATTCTGCAGACTGAAGTTTTGACCAAAGCTGCATGCCGAAAGTGGCTGAGAACAGGCTTGTCTGGGCTAGGTAATTGCTGCCAGACCCCACTGCCACCTCGTGCATGTTCTCTGGTGCCAGCTGGGGGTCCTGGTGCTTTCGGGGGAGAACGGGGTCCGTGCGGTTTGAATGAGAATCACAACGGCGTCCCCGTGGGACACTTGCTTTGTGCAGCACCGGCTGGTTCTAGACATTAGGCTGGGAGCAAGAGCCCAAGCAGAGGCTGAGAGATGCAATGCTGAGTCCATGACCTAGAATCACCTCGCACCGGGTGTGCTCAAGTGACCGCAACAGCTCCACAGGGAGGGCTGAAGTGACGTGATGTTAGCATGATCCTGGCTCGTCCCTTGGCCGGGGCTGGCAGCTGGTTGGGAGAAAGCAGCTGTTCTGCTGATGTGCTTTCAGGCCTCACCCTGGCACTGCCCTTGGGAGAGAGAACTTGGCTGTTAAATGCTCCTTCCGGCAAGGGACAGGCTGCTTCCTCTGTGCATTTATCGAGCACCCAGTTGCCAAAAGGGCTGTGCTAAAACTGAATACAAGAGCCAAAGGACATGGTGGGCCCTTGCTAAACCCCTGTGCCCCCAGTGACCTCCTCTGGACATGGGTCTGTAGGACAAAAGGGGGGCTTGGCAGCAGCAAGTGTTCTCGTGGGAGAGCTCGCCTTTGGCTGCCCACTAAAACCAACGTGAGAAGTTGGGGAAACAGCCTCCGGCACCAAGGGGCGTCCTGTAACTCAGTCCTGCTGCTCCTCTGGGCCAGGACAGGACGGAGCATCGAGTGTCCACTTCCAGTGGCCTGTGATCCCCCGAGCCAGGCCTGCCACCGTACAGGCTTCCAGCTTGCAGGGGGGACCAGGAGCGCTGCGTTCTTACAGAACGTACCCTTTGGCTGTCTCCTGCACGGCCCAGAGCCTGCCTGCCCGATGGGGGAAGGCCCCTCCAGGCACGTGCCATAGAAGGGCTCATGCCACAGGTCTTTCCCTCCCCTTCCTGCCAAGTTATCTGTGCTCTAGGGGGCACCCAGAACAAATCTGCTCTCTGCACAGCCAGCAGGCATGACCGATACCGCCACCTGCCGGCCGCAGGCTTCCCCTGCGATACTGCCCACTGCTAAGGTGAGGGTTAAACTCCAGCCAAACATGTTTGAGGGCAGCATTGGAAAAATGAGTCTTTAGCACAGCGGTTCCCAACCTTTTCCAGATGGGGACCCATTTTGACAATTCAAAAATGGGGAGAGGAGAGAGGGCAGAGACACTGGGCGACCCATAGGTTGGGGAACCCTGCTTTAGCAGAACTGACCTGGCCCTAACTGTGCTATAAAGCATCACCCAGCAGGCACAGATCAGTCACACACAAGCGCTGCTACCACGTGCGTCTGCTCTACAGGCGAACGCCCTGCTGGTTGTCCCTGGCCTCCTGCGGGGGTCGGTGTTTCTTGAGCCAACATTGCTTGTTACTAAGGAACTCCATTAATTGGAAGAGCTTCCTGCCCCTCTCCACCAGCAGCTCTTCCTTTGCCAAATCTGGATGGGGCATGAAGGTCACCATAGGAATGTGGCAGCTGCCAGGATAACACGATTTTCCACAGACCAGCAGTGTACATGACAGACTTGATCTATGAAGTGTTTGGGGGGGGTTCCACCTTTTCAGATGTCAGACCTCTGCATCCCTACTATGTGCTCCTCCTCTTGCCTGCCTCATTTGTCTGGTCTGCCAAGGGAACTTTGGAACTGATTTAAGCTATTGCCATTAACACTAACAGCTGTGAGTACTTGCCCACGTTTTTCATCATGTTTCTTTGTGCAAAGCTGGACCTGCTGGCTCCAGGCTTATGGGAGAAGGGGAGAAAATACCACAACCTGTTGTTCTACTGCAGCACATGCAGTGGGCCCTTCCCCCTGCAGTTGTGTTTAAGGGGCATAGGGGAAAGCTTGCTGGCTTGCCCTGGAAGGAACCTGGCCCAAAGCCGTTCCACAGGAACTGTTTATTTAAACACACAAGGCTGCCTGAACAAACAGGCCTGGGGCGAGAGAACCACATTCCAAAGAGCAGCTCTGGAGATGCACAGCCAGCAGGCTCCCTGCCAGAGCTGATTAGCCACTCCATGTCCTCCACTGGGGGGTTTACAGAGCGCTAGCAACACTACATCCAAAGGGATTTTACTGCCGGTTTCTGGCACTTCAATGCAGAGGTGTTTCCCCTACTAAAACATGGAAGTCAGTCGGGTTTTATGCTAGAACCCCTGGTGAGCCCTTGTACAATTCAGCTTTCACTTCATCCCTGCTGCCCTGGCTCTTCTCTTCCCCACCCCACTGTCAGCCCACCGAAGCTCTTAGTAAGAACCTCCGGTGTGTCCTTTGTGTGTCAGCCGTGCAGCATGGCCATCCACCTCGTCCTTAAACAAACAGAATCATCTCTGTGGCAAACAGCGAGCGGGGCCCAGAGAGACTCCCCCGCCCTTTCCTGCCGGGATGGGGATGCATCAGCTCCAGCAGACGAGGCTCCTGGGGGTAACTATAACCCGCACCCACGCTACACAACTTAGCCTTTGCTCATACCACTCTCAGTAACACCAGTGGCAACCCACTGCTGCTCATGAACTAGCTTCCTGGACAATCTAGAAATGGGAGAGTGTTAGTGCTTTCGATGGCCCCGAAGGAGAGGAGCCAGCATGGATTTGAGGCCTTAGGCTTGCTCAGTAGGGATTTCAGCTGAATCGCTGTGTTGGCAACCGCCAAGTCCTACCACTACCTCTGAGAATGGCTCTCTGCTAAGCCCCTTAAAGCACTCCAAGGGACCCAGTCAGAACAGCAACAGTGGCCAAGGCCTACTCTCTCCACAGCCTACGCCTTGATGTCAGCCACAGCTAAGTTTGGACACTCTCCTCCAAGTTCCCTGCGTCCCACCGGCTCACGAACAGCCAATGCAGATGGTGGACACTCAATGGAGATGCTGACAGTTGAACATGGGCATGGACCTCTCTGGGGCAGGTCTGTTGAACAGCTCTGGTTCCCTGAATAGCAGCTGCAAAACCTATTTTATTGACTCCCTTGCAAGCTGCCTGCCCAGGAACATACAGAAGAGGTGGTGCTTTCTGTGCAGAATAGTCTCCTGCACAGATTAGCTCAAGGCAGGGAACTTCTGCCTTTTGCTTTCTTGCTTCTCCCTCAACTGCAATTGCCTCTTCCCCTCAAACAACAGGATGCTCGCGGCCATGGCTGAGTTCAAACTGTCCACGCCAGGGATCAAGGGAATAACCAGTCTCCTCCCCCCCGTGCTCTCTGCTAGCTGAAAGGCTTGTGCGCTCAAACCCTGGGTCTCCCCACCAATCACCACTGCCACTGGTGTCTGTGTCCAGTTCTCGTGGTAGCACTGAGCTTCAAGCTCTGGCAGCCAGGCCTCGTCTGTTCTCTGCTCCTCCTCCTCGCTGTCAGATTCCAAAGCCAAATCCTCTCGGTTTATCTGAGCCTTTAAATTGTGAGGTCTGGAAACCCAGCCATAGCTGCTGGCCTTTCCGGACATATCCTCATCCTGGTTTTGAGCTCGTGGGTCGTGGTTGTCAGCCACGTGGACCAGCGTGTCTCCGGGAAGATAGTTGGGAATGAATTCCCACTCCAGATTGGCAATGATGGGTAGGCGGAAGTGAGCCCCCATGCCTGCACGAAGCACTTTGGGCTCCCAAGGATCCACACAGCCTGTAACAGAAAGCAGTGAAGGTGCAAGAGGTTAGTGGGGAGCAAAGGCTGCAAGAAGAGTATGCATTCAGTGCCCAGTGCCACTGAAAAACGACAAAGGAGACTTCTTAAAAGCCCCCTGGAACAAGCCATTGTCCACTACAGCCAGGAGGAGTTACATGGGCCTTTGATATGAGCACCACACAAACTGGAAAACTAACCACTCCTCAGCCCCTTCAGTATGCAGTTACTGATGAGGTGCTGTATCTGTGACCCTGCCTTCGTTCCAGACCCCTGCACTTGCTCAGTATCATGGGAATATCCACAGAACATATAGCAGGTTTAAAACTAATAAAAGAAAGTTCTTTTTCACACAGCGCGTAGTCAACCTGTGGAACTCCTTGCCAGAGGAGGTTGTGAAGGCTAGGACTATAACAGAGTTCAAAGAGAAGCTAGATAATTTCATGGAGGTTAGGTCCATAAAAGGCTATTAGCCAGGGGATAGAAATGGTGTCCCTGGCCTCTGTTTATCAGAGGCTGGAGAGGGATGGCACAAGACAAATCGTTTGATCATTGTCTTCAGTCCACCCCCTCTGAGGCACCTGGCACTGGCCACTGTCGGCAGACAGGACACTGGGCTAGATGGACCTTTGGTCTGACCCAGTACGGCCATTCTTATGTTCTTACGTAATATCCAACATGGTGTGAGCTGTTTATTTCCATCCATGCCAAATGAATTCTCACAACTCTTCCAAACAGTTGATTTTCCACTAAACTCTCCTCATCCCCCAGACCTGAAGCCTTCCCCGAGTCTTGCTCTCCAGAGGCAGGGGCCTACCTTTGGTGAGCAGCACTTTGCTGCAGCCTGCTCCAGCTGCAGATCTCAGGATCGTTCCCAGGTTTCCAGGGTCACGGAGATTGTCACAGATAAGGGACAGAGGCAGCGAATTCCTTTGCTGGATAGCTGGGTAGGTCATCTTGGCATGGTCAGGTCTGGAAAAGATCCCTGAGGAAACGGAAGGAGAGAGCCGCATTGGCACAAGGACTCTCTTGCTCTTCCCGCCTGTTTTAATCACCACCGATTTAAATGACACTTCTGCAGTGGAACCAGAAGTATTGGAGTTAGGCTGAGGAGCAGTGTTGCTGGAGTTGGACTGGGCTGTTTTCCTAGTAAAGTCCACTAGAATGTGAAAGATTAACTGGTAAGCATCAGCCTTAATAGGTGATGCTTACTGGTTCTAGTTAACCAGCAGAGGCCAGAGCAGTCGTTCCCTGTGGTTGGGGGCTACTCCAGCCCAAATAGGCTGGAGCATGCCCCTTTAATTGGTAACTAGCTAAACTTTGCATTTAACCAGTTAGTCAATTAAATGGGATTTTACATCCCTACACATTATTTAAAAAACTCTAATTGGGCTGCCACAGGGTACCTCTCTCACCAAGCATCATAGACCTACCCCTCAAAGCCACTACATTTGTTAATCATCCTCCAAGCCTTCAGGACATGTAGTTGTCTCCTTGAAACAGAGGGGGAAGTTTCAAGTCAGTCTATCAAGTCAGTCTGAGTGAAAGTAGGAAAATCCTTCCTCTAGCCTAATCCCCTTGAAACCCATGTCACCGGCTGAGTAACAGGAATAGTCCACTGAAGTGACAGTCAAGTTGTATTCCTCACTCTGTTTTAATAAAGGATAACAGACAGCTGCACTTATTTGCTCTTTCTAAAGCAAACTTACCGATCAGCCCTTGAGGCGCTACGAGGTCAGACCAGTTCTTAATGTCTTCAAACTTCACCTTCAGGAGCGTGGTTTTCTTCAGCTTTTCCTCGGGCAGCTCTCTCAGGTGCCCGGCCGTACTGAAGAAGAGAGTCTGCGGCACCACGCCAGCGTCCAGGGCGTCCTTGATCAGCCTGTGGCCCTCCAGCAGGATCTTGCCGTGCTTCTCGCGGAACTTCCTCGACTTGGCGATCGTCACCACTTTCCTAGAGAGGAGACCCGGCGTGGCGGGAAACCGCTTTGGAGTCGGCGCGCGGGAGGCACCGTTCTCAGCCCCCTTCGCCTCAGGGGGGGCAGGCAGCGGCGCCAGGTCTCAAGCAGGAAGGGGGGCGGGAGCCGAGGCGGTGGCC